GAGTCATCATGTGCTCCGCATTGCGGATCCCAACCTCACGTTCGTAGTCACTATGGACGCGAGCCAGTTTGGGATTGGTGCAGTGCTGCAACAAGATGATGGCGATGGCTTGCGTCCGCTCGAATATTACAGCAAACGCATGCCCAGCCACAAGGTAGCTACTTCCACGTATATGCGAGAGCTTTACACCCTGCGCGAAGCCCTCGCACATTGGAAGCACTACCTCTTGGGTCGCCACTTCAAGGTCTATTCTGATCATCAGACCCTGCAGTGGATTCAGACACAATCCGAACTCTCTCCTACGTTGACCCGCTGGCTGCATGACATTGATGTTTACAGTTTTGAGTTTAAGCATAAGAAAGGTTGTTATAATCGTGATACTCTATCGCGCCATCCTGAGTATTTGACTTGCCTGGTGGATTCATACGACCTCCGCAGGAAACTGAAGGAGGATCTGATCGAACACATCGCCAAGGATCCGGACCTTAGTCCCATCCTTGAGCAGCTCAAGGCTGACCCCAACAGCCAGCCTGATTTTCATGAATGCGATGGTCTTGTATTCCGCCGGGACGGGAAATTTGATCGCTTGTGTGTTCCTAACCATGTGCCTCTCCGGACTCATTTCCTGGATTTAGCACATGGTCGGAGTGGGCACTTCGGCTTTGAGAAGACTTATGGGAGTCTTCTCCAGCAGTTTGATTGGCCAGGGATGAAGGGATCTGCTCAGAAATTTATTGCTGAGTGTCAAGTCTGTCAGAGAACCAAGGTCCACAGGCATAAGCCTTATGGCCTGCTGAGACCTCACCCAATCCCTGATGGCCCCGGGGAATCGGTCTCCATCGATTTCACGAACATGGGAAAGGTGAGTACGGCAGGGAATTCACAAGTCATGGTCATTGTGGATCGCTTCTCTAAATTTCTGAATCTGATTCCTCTTCCTCCTCATGCACCGACTGAACTGGTGATCGAAGAGTTTCACCAGCAGTACATTCTGCAGTATGGGCCCCTGAAAACTCTTGTGAGTGATAGGGACACCAGATTCATCAGCAAGGATTGGAAGGACTTCACTGCCCAGATCTATGACATCAAACTGAACATGACTTCTGGACGACACCCCGAAGCCAATGGATTGGCTGAGGAAATCAACCAGACCGTCACCCAGCTGCTGCGCGCATTGATTGTGCCAGATCAGAACACATGGGATAAGGACTTGCATAAAGTAAACGGGCTGTATAACAACTCCATCCATTCTGCAACCGGTGTGACACCAAACCAGTTGCAGTATGGGTGGCCAATGCGCAATCCCCTCTCCTACCTGTTCCCAGAACGGTCACCTGGTCTGATGCCCGCCATGCCTGGCTACAATGCCAAGTACGCACGCTTGCTCAAAGCTGTGACCGCAGCCATGAACAAGCGCCAGCATGCCATGATCAAACATGCTAATAAGATGCGCAGAGAAGAGAAATTCAAAGTAGGAGATTATGTCTGGGTCAAAATGTCTGAATTTTCTGATGAAGAGGGCGTTTTACAGAAGATTCTCCCACTATACTACAGCCCTTGGCAGATTCTGAAAGTGATTGGGTATGATTTCGGTCCTTCGTATGTGATTGACGTGCCGCCTCATCTGCGCGCGTACCCAGTCTTCCATGCCTCCAAACTGTTTGCGCACATTGATGATGAGACTTTTCCCTTCCGAGACCTTATGATACCTCGCCCTATCAATGGTGGCCATGAGATCGACCGAATTGTTTCTCACGAAGGGAGAGGGAGGAACAGACAATATGAAGTTCACTTCCTCTATCACCCGTTGAATGAATTTTTCTGGATCGACCGGAAAGAGCTGCTGAAGAGTGCGCCACGTGTTGTGAACGCATATGAACGACAGATTGTTGATGGACAGACCGCCAAGTTTGCTGCAAAACTCACTCCGTTCGGTCTCACTAACACTCTCCTTTTGATCTATGCCTATAACGCCTTTTGTACCAACTCTAACTGAGTTCCTCGCTCGAAGGGACCTCGCTCTCGAGAGGGGAGTAATGTAATGAGCTGCCAAAAACACAGACTGAGAACACTCCCGATTTCTGGGATTTGTCACTGGAATGGATGCCTTGTTGTGATTCCCACATTCTGCTGTGGTTCCAAGTCTGTGTGTGTGCCTGCCTGCTGGTTGCATGTCTGTCTGAGTGCTTGCTGGTTGTGTGTGTGTGCGTGCATGCCTGTCTGAGTGCTTGCCGGTGGGGTAYGTGTGTGTTTGACCCGCAAGGGTACTTGKTGGTTGCAAGGCCCACCGGGCCGGTACTTACCTGTGGCCGTGACTCTGGAAGGTTGCAGGGGGGCAAAACACTCCGGTAGCGGGAGATAGGCCCACGGCACTTAGAGCAGCTGGGGAAAACACTCAAGTAGCAGGTAGGCCGAGCAGAAGAAGACAAAAAGTTGGCATTTTTAGAGGTCCAGTAGCGGTAGGTTGGGGGTAGGCCGGTACCAGTCCAAGTAGCCCGGGTCTAGGGCCTGTGCGGACAATAACAGAGCCTGCAATGATGTTTCCCTCCAAAAAGGGAGGAGGTACCGGTTGCCTGGAAGGCCGCTTGGCCTGGACACCACTATATCTTCAGGAAGAGCGGAAGGCTCTTCCTCATTTGCAGTATGCAAGGATTGGCGACATGCTGCTGGAGCGCAGCGCTGGACTGAAGCAGCGCTGCTTGGAGGTGAAGGTCCGCTGGGGCTCAGCCTGGCTATGGCGAGTACCCCAGCTTGAGGAGGAGGAAGAAGGGGGCATGGTAGGAGTGGTAGGGCACTTACCTGGCTATGGTGGACACCGTCTTCATCACCTTGTTGGGCACTGCATCTGGAAGGCCCCAGTTGGGGTAGCGCTGCACCAGAGCAGCTCAAGGCAGAGTCAGGCATAGCGGACCAAGTCAAGCAGCGGCATAGCCGCTTTGGGTTGTCTTGGGACATCAGCGCAGCATCATAGCTGCCTCCCGGTAGTCCGCCATGGCCTATGCATGAGAGAGGAGGATGAAGGAGGGAAGCCATGGCCATGGTGGACTTTCTTGTTGTTGTTGTTGTGAGTTGAGTCAGCAGTAAGGGGGAACTTCGAACATTGATTCTGGTTCATCCATTCATTGTTATTATTATTCTTGAGAGAAGAATAAGATTGGTGAAGAGAAGGAGGAAGGAGGAAGGTGGAGAGAGAAGGGGGAATTGTCATTGGTCTTGTTGGTGTACTTCTACTTCTTCTTCTTCTTCTTCTTCTTTAACTCTCCTCCGGTCTTTATCTCTTTCCAAGTGCTTTCATATCTTTCGCAATTGGGTGGCATTGTCTTTCATTGTGAATTTGCACTTGGGAAACGACCAGGATCGTAACATAAGAAAAAAAGAAAAAAAGAGGGAAAAGATGGTGACCATGCTCATGTGGCAGAATAATACACACAGCTAACCGTCAGGCCATGAGTTCGAACCATACTTATAGCGCACCTATGCAGTGCGTCGCAGGGTGCACTTGTGCATTGTGTATTTGTGCATCTCATTTCTCATTGAGTGGTTTTATTGCTCTAATGACGTATGTACAAGATTGTGTGAATTTCGTCCTCAACCCTATAACGGGCACGTGTAGTGGAGTGAGACCCGTTGTATTTCTCACAGATTCCGTGGCTCGCAGACCAAAGTAATGTCAGCGTAACCATCCATGTTCCTGCTGAAGCTTCACTTTATGCTGAAGCTTCATTTTACACGTTCGGTGAGTGGCGGACCGAGACCCACCCCACAAATTTGGCATATTCTGGCAGAGGCACTTCAAAACAACCCACCCTCGTCACGATTCTGCCGTAATAGCCCCACAACAGACACTCTCCATGACTGTACGGGAAAAGGACAGCAATGTGAAGGGTGTATTTTTCCACATTCTGACTTGATGTATGCTTACTTCCCATAACTCGCCCTGACGAACATTCTCAATCTCTTTTTTTTTTTTTTCCCCTAAAGCAAAGACACCAGCGGAAAACAACTGTCACAGTCTGTCAGCTTCTTCGCTTCCATTTCTAGAAATGTATCTGACGCAATACAGACCTTGCGGACACTCGGGAGAGGCTGCAAAACCAAAGGACACTCGTACCCAAACAAATACAACAGATTTTTGGCGCCCACTGTCGCACTGCCCTCAACTTTTTCCCCCCTCGTTTTATGACATTTTTTAAACCACTCCCTGCATGCGGGGTAAGGCCTGCTACAACACCCCTGCCCCAAAAAAACTTTTGGACAACCCCTATTTTCGGGGGTGCGCTGCACCACGTGCATGCGCATGCACTCATGTGCATGCGCGTTGCGCCACACGTGCGCAAGTGGCTCACACGAAGTGAGACGCAAGTAAGGCTTGAACTCCGGTTTCAACTGAGAAAACCCGGATGTCACAAGAAACGAGAAAAAGAAGAGAAAAGGGTGATGGTGACCACGCCCATGTTGCAGATTGGTACAGAACATGTAACTGTCAGGACGTCCCGGTCGCCTATTTTGAGGTTTGAATCATGGCTGCAATCGAGATGTCCAGATCGCAGTGCACACAGTCTGTGTCCGAATGCCTGGGTCCGATGTCCAGGATCTGACCCCCCACCCTTTAAAAAAAATTCCAACGAAAAAAGTTATAAAAAAAATCTTAAAAAAACGATATGCTCCCAACATAGGGAAACAATACAAGGAATCTCGAAAATTTGCTGCCAAATATGATGAAAAAAGAAACGCTTGTTTCTTTCTTTTTTCTTGGCGGGTGGGGGGGGGGGGGCAGGGGGAAAAGGGACGGCTAAATTCGGACGGTCCAAGACTCCAAACCCAGCAGGACGTCCGGTTCGGTCATGTGTCCGGGTCTGGAGTATACCCATGGTTCAAACCCTGATTTCAAATGAGAAACTCGGAATGCAAAGCTTCAAAAAAAATCAAAAAAAAAGAAAACAAACAAACAGAAAATGATGGTAATATCATGGTGTTATCCATAAAGCCGTGTGCCTCACCTTCTCTTGTGCCAACGTGTCCCAATTGACATTTCTGAAGAACGGGTGTGCCTTGACCTACAACAAAATCCACAGGATAGAAAGACATTCAGAAGTAAAATTTCAGCAACGAGTGGCAGCTATTGAACCTTGTACATCCCACATGCAACAACAGTCCGCATCACAATGACGCGAAAGCTCCGACCTGAAATCGGCACGACAAATCCTTGGCCCGACCGTGAGGCAGTAGGAGACGAGCTGATATGGAACCTATTCACCCTAAGCCTTCCTTTTGACCTTGCCACTAATCACCAGAGTACAGACCGTGAGGCAGTAGGAGACAGATGTGCCAACGCAGATGGAGAGGATGGGCAGGGAAAGGTCATCAGAGGACAGTACAGACTCGATCATGCACACACCCACACCCACACACACACGCACACACACACACACGTACACACACGTACACACACGTACACACAAACACACACACACACACACACACACATCCCACTAATCACCAGAGTACAGGCCATGACGCAGTCGGAGACGGATGTGGCAATGCAGGTGGAGAGGAGCGGCAGGGAAAGGTCATCAGACGAGAATACAGACTCGATCACCCACAGCGCGCGCGCGCGCACACACACACACACACACACACACACACACCACACACACACACACACACACAGAGCAGAAGCAGAAGCAGATCGGGTTTTCCAACAGACGAACATGCTTACTTTAGATCCAACCCTAATACCCTATCATAATCTTTCCACACGGCGTATGTCGGAAACATAAGCCCACTTGATCATGAAAGAATAATAATAGACATCTGTTTTTCTTTTCGTTTCCACAGAAAATCTTAATCCGACACAAAAGAGGAGGGGAAACTCACCTCCGCAGCACCGTTGGCTCCCAACCGAACTTCTGGATCCACGGTGAGCAGCCTACAGTTCAATTAAACACCCAAATACATCCAATAACATCAGACGTGAAGAAGTGAGAAAAAAGAAGTAATCACCGACATACTGCCTGATGCAGATGACTGAACCAACGGTAGAAAGCATACCCTTCCCACAAGTAATGGATTCATGGAGACGCACAAACAAAGTGTGATGTCTTATGCACATCCATGCTACTAATGCATCATCACTTAACAAAGGTGATGTCATGTCTAGAGAGTCAAACGCATATACCAGAAGTAGTTGTGTGCATGTGCAACCACGTCGCTAATCCATCATCAGATTTATCGCCTCGTCTATTCTCTGAGAGAGGAAAGTTCTGGAAAATCTACTGAAGAACAGACCCGAAAAAAGGTGGCCACATCATCCAGAAAACAAAAACAGAGAAAGATATATCAAACAATTTAAAACCCGCAGAACAAAGACAAACAACGAAACATACCCTGCTTCAACTCATGATACTTTCTCCAGAAGCACAGATAACTATGTGATCCCTCCCACCGAACAATACATACAGAATCTGCGTCAGTAGGTTGGACAGAAGGCAGCTTCATCAACAGAAGCAAAAAAACAGAGGTGGGGGCTGGGATGGGGCTCACAATGGCCATAAAAACAACAGATGTTACAGAACATCAATACAACAGGAGCAGATAGCCATGCGACATAAAAGGAGACCCATTCAGGGATAAAGGCCACCCATTCAGGGATGAAGGCCACCTCAAAATTGCCGCAAGCAAAACCGAACGCTAACCTATCAACAAGCCTGAACAAGGTCCTGCGCTGCAGCTTCATCAAGAGAATAAAAAAAAA